CTGATAAAATTTCTTTTTTTATATTGTTGTTGTTGTTATTTGCAGTCGAGTCGCCCCCCGACTCATAGCGACCCCTCCTTGGGTTTCCGAGGAAGTATCACTACAGAAGTAGGATTGCCCAGCCTTCTGGTTAGCAGTCAAGTGCCTTAGGCACTATGCTACCAGAGCTGCTAGAAAGTTCCAAAACAAATTTATGCTCCAAATATTTGTAGCAGTGTGGCGTAATGAATCACTTTTTGGCCTTTGTAGCCATGGTCTTGTAACTCCCAGTAAATGATTGGGTGGGACTGTGCAAACAGGATGTGTAAAACTCTTGCTTGGATTGGCTAGGGTATACAAAAAAGGTGCCTGTGGCCCAGAGAGGGGATGGTCAGTTTTTCCATCCCCTTAGGCTTTAAAAGAACAATCCCAGAAGTTAAGGGGTGACTTTACTACTATCAAGAAGAAAAGCCAGGAGTGGAGCATGTCCTTCAGACCCAGGGTTCCTGTATTGAGAATCTCCTAAATTCAGGAAATAGGTAACACTGAAGACAGTATGAGGTGGTGCAAGGCAGCAAAATGTGGTGCAAAATGGCACGAGGTGGCTGCAGTGAACTCACTAACCCACAGTGTAAGAGAGCTGAGTATCTTCAGGCAATCGGCTTCCTGGTGGAGTGAGGTACCTCTAGGCACTTGGCAGTGAGCTAAAAAGCTATGACAACTTGTCTGAGCAGGACAGAGGCCAGTCCTGAGCAAGGCCCAGTGTCATAGGCCTACCTGTGGGCACAGCTTAGAAGCTGTCCTGGTCAAAGAACTGTATCCCAAGTCGTTCCTGTTACATCCAAGTTGATCTTGATCCCAAGTTGTACCTTGTTACTTCCCTAATAAACCCTATAATTTTAAGTATGATCTGTGAATTCTTCACAGTCATTGCAACAAGTTACTGAACCCAGCAGAGGAGTAAAGAGTTCTGGAGGAGGGACAGCTTGTGTTAGAATCAGTAAAAAGTTTTGAGAGAGGAAGCATGTTTGACTTTCATATCATAGGAGTCAGTTTTGGGCTGATGCTGATCTTGATTATCTTGTTAGCCTTCCTGCAAAAAGGGTATGATGGCAGCATCATCTGACCTCCTTTAACTTCACAAGAAAGGAGGAGGCGCAAGATCAATATCAACAGCCTAAGGGTGATTCCTATGAGCCAGAGGTCAGACATGTCTTCACCTTCAACCTCTTTACCAATTCTGACACCAACCGTCTCTCTCATAGCACTCTACTTTTCTTCTGTGCTTGAGAACCCATTGCAATAGCCACACAGAACTCACAGACAATAATCGATCAGGAGTACTCAGAATACAGTTCTTTGATCAGGACAGCCTCCCTTCAGCCATTTCTGAAGGCAGGACTCTCTGAGGTCCTTAGCACCTATATCTGGCCACTGCCCTTTTTAGGCAAGTGTTACAAAGCTCTTTTACCAAAAACAAACAAACAAACAAAAACCAAACTCACTGCCATGAAGTGGATTCCGGCTCATAGCGACCCTCCTTGGGTTTCTGAGGCAGTATCTTTACAGAAGTAGATTGTCCAGTTTTCCTTCTGAGGAGTGGTTGGTGGGTTTGAACTGCCAGCCTCCTGATTAGCAGTCAAATGCCTTAGGCACTGTGCCACCAGGGCTCGCAAAGCTCTATCTGCTGATAGATGCCTATAGGCACCCCACTTCACCAGTAAGCCTCCTGTCCAGAGGCATTCAACTTTCTCACTTTGTGGGCTGGGAAGCCCATTCCTCTGTCTGTTGCTAGGTCTGCTGCCAGGTCTGCTGCAGTCACAATGGAAAAGCAACACTTATGTAGGAAATTTTGGAACTGGGAAGATTTGAATATGGACTATGTGCTAGATATTATTGTTTAAATGTTACATTTCCTGGGTGTGATTATGGTATTGATGTTCTTTAGAGTCTAGCCCCCATCCTGAAGCTTGAATAGCTTTCATTTACCTCATTTTTTTTTTTTTTTTAATGGCTCACTTATGTTGTTGGGATCTTGAGCAAGAAGAATTTAAAGGATGTGATCATAAAAGCTTGTGCTTGTGCCATGGCTTCTCTGATCAGCCTTAGGTGATAAATGAAAAAAAAAAAAAAAGTGCTATGGGCACTTTATGTCACAGTTCAGTAATTACACGTCATGACCCAAGTAATAATCATACCTTCTCCCTCCTCTTTCTGGGAGAGGTAACTTGCCCTTGTGTGGGTAACATTTCTCTCCCTTCCCCCAAATAGGACTAAGGAGGTGTGAGGTGACAAGGAAAGTTCTTATTTGACTGGCACTGTCATAAAAATACACTATCATACTTTTGGATGTGCTAGTGCTTCAAGGAAGGAGCTCTGATGGTATAGTGCCTGAGGCATTAGACTGCTAATCAGAAGTTTGGCGATTCAAACTTACCAACTGTTCAATGGAAGGAAGATGGGGCACTCTGCTTCCATAAGGATTTACCCCCTTGAAAACCCGATGGGGGTTGCTATGCGTCAGGATTGACTTGATGGCAGTGAGTTTGACTTTTAGTTTTGGTCTTTCTCAATGAGAGGAGCTCTGGTGGTACAGTGGTGAAGGCATTCAGCTGCTAACCAGTAGGTTGGTGGTTCATACTCGCCAGCCACTCCATGGAGAAAGATGAGACAATCTGCTTCTGTAAAGACTTACAGCCTTGGAAACCCTATGGGGGCAGTTCTACTCTGTCCTGTAGGTCCACTAGTCTTTGGAATCACCTTGATGGCAATGAGTTGCATTTTTTTATTTTCTCAATGAGGAGTCCCTGGGTAGTACAAATAGTTAATGCTGCTTAGAGGTTAGGGTCCACCCAGAGGCACCTCAGAACAAAGGCCTGAAAATCAGCTCTTGAAAAGCCTGTGGAGCACAGTTCTAGTCTGACATAATGGGGTCACCACAACTCACAATCTATAGCAACTTTTTTTTCCTTTCTCCATGGAGGCTTTTCTGGGCCTTTGGAGGCCCTTGCCTTGGCTTGCCATCTTCCTCAAAGCACAGACTTTCTCTCTTGGAATCCTAGCACCCTTTTGGAAAACTTTTGGCTCTTTTCCACTCCCGTGTGGCCTACATCTGGTCCATACAAAATATTTTGGTGTTCTTGTTACTGCCTTCATGTCAAGCATCACCATCACCCAATTAGACAGACTTACCTAGAGGCTAATGAAGCTTAAGCTTCAATGTCATTGTTTGCACAGCACCTTCCAAGACCCCAGTGCCCTAGTGATGTGTTCCTACAGTAATTTGATATTCTCTTCCTTAACACAGGCTTCTCACATGGTATGAGCTCCAGGTTCCACAGAACCTGGATCTGTCCCTGCTCTAATGTGGGTCCTTTACTGTCTGTTCTGAGGCCCAATAGCCAAGTTTTCTGCTTCATAGTCCTCAGTTGTGCATCACATAATAGTCCCTATATCCCCCAAACTCCAGACACACACCAAGCTTTTTTGAAATCTCTCCTTGAAGCCTCTTTCACTAACTAAGTGGGGGAAGGACTTAGTCACTGTCAAGGCCCTTGCCATCTCCTGGCATCTGAGCCCCTCCCCAACAGCCCTCCACTTTCTAGACCCTTTCAAAGCTATTCTTACTTTTGTTTCAGATAATCTCTGTAAGTTCTGCGGGTGGCCTTCACCACCTTCAGAGTGCAGCATTTATTGGATTTAGGAGCTGCCATTGGAATTCCCAATTTACCATCTAGGTGCACTTGAACAACTGTTTATGTTTTCAGTGGCAACATTACATCATAGATTGTTTGGGCTAGATACAATTTAGTTGTGTATATATGAAAATAAATGCACTGGAGTATTACAATTGAACATGAAAGTATTAGAATTTAAAATGCCTGACAATATACCACTAGAATCAATGCTGATATCACTAATGTAATCACACGATCTCTTGAAAACCATCGGTTTAACAGAATACTATGGTGAGCCTTTGTGTAAAAGTATACTCCAAGGCATGGCCTGGTAGGCTAGGAAAGAGATAGCCAGATTACTCAGCATAATTGAACAAGTAGATTGTTGTGTCTCCAATAGCAGCACAGGAAGGAGTAGTTGTGAGGGAACAAGACTAAAGAGAAATTGAGCTGGTGAGAGGGGGTGGGAGAGAGAGGGCTGAGTGAGGAGGGATGTCTGATGATTCAATGTAACCAATATACTGTGATGCATTTTTTGCCACTCAGGCTTCAGGACATGGAACTAGACCATAGTCATACTCCCAGGGTTCTCAGGCTCTGTCCTGTTTGGGGAGTGGGGAGGTGGGAGCACATCAGCGGGACCAATAACAGTATCCTTACCTACACTCTTAGTTCATGTAAGGGAGGGAGTGTACTCTTATGCATCAGTTAGCTATTGCTGTGTAACGAATCACCCCCAAACTTAGTGGCTTGAAACAACAAACGATTTCTTAAAAGTATATAGGTGGGCTGGGTGGGTTCTCTCATGCATTCCAGATCAGGGAGGGTTGTGCAGGAGGATCTGTTCATCTAGTCTGAGTCTCTTACATGCATGAGGTTTGGAGGTAGGCTGGTCTACGATGGCCTTGGTTGGTATACCTCTCCTTGGGTCCTCCAGCACGTTAGCCTGAACTTGTTCACATAGCAGCTCTTAAAGTTTCTAAGAGATCAAGTGGAAATGTGTGGGGCCTCCTGAGGCTTAGGCTCAAAAGTAGCACAGTGTAACTTTGGCCATTCTATTGAATAAATTAATTCACAGGCCAGCCTAGCTTCAAAGGGTGGGGAAATGGATGCCTCTTGATGGAAGGGGCTACAAAGCCACACTGCAAAGGGCATGGATACAGGGAGGGGTGAAGAATTGGGACCATGCTTGCAATCACAACCAAGAAAAGATGCTCCTGCCCAAATCGCCAGCTGCCACTGGTCAGGCCAGAGGCTCTTGCTTCTCTGGCACTCCTGGGGCCCTCCCACAATGTACCAGTTCGAGAGGCAAAGTTCACCCTTCCCCCACAGTGGAATGCAAGGCTGATGTGACTGACATTGTGAAGGGGCCACAGAACCCAGAGGTCAATAATGCCACAGCCCTATCTCCTGTCATTCCTGCCACAGGGCCTTTTAATGGGTGGAGGAGACCATCTGCAGCATGGTAGAGAGCCTGCCCAGACTCTCCAACACACTTCAACACAGCCAACAAGAAATGACAGTGCCAGAAGATACCAGGATATATCTTGAATACCTCGAGACATCCTGGGTAGGGAACTGAAGGACTTGGGGCACAGATGGTGTTCTTTAATCTCTTATTCCAATTGGCAGCTAAGGCTTTGGAAAAGAAAGGAACATATGGGAATTGAACAGCTGGCTAAGTAAATGCAATTGAAGAACAAGATTTGGCTTTTCTGGACCATGGCTTAAGATGGGTTCTTGGCAAGGACTTAATAATATTAACAATTTTAATATCATGCTTTTGTACAAGACTTAACTATTTAGAAATCACATTCATGTATATGCTATTTCATTTTACATAACTTTAGTTGAGGGAGGGTAGATTTTCGCCCAGTTTCACAGATAAGCAAACTAAGGCTCAGAGAGGAGAGATCAGTTCCCTGCTGGATGTCATGGCCAGGTCTTGAGTGCAGGTTTGTTTGACTCTTTTATAGCTCCACTATCCTTTTTGTGGGAATGGTTGAGAGCAACAGCATTTTCCCACCTCTTTGTGACCTACAGCAAAAAGAAGAAAAATCAAGACCTCGGGTATAGGCGCCTCTGGGCAGGAGGGCTGGCTGTCAGCCCAGCGCCCCCTGGGGACACAGGGAACACGCAGAGTGTCATTTCCACCCCTACTGCTGGGACGCCAGACTGGGGAGTTTGGCCCTGTGCAGAGCCCATGAGCACATAGGTTCCCACAGGAGAGCCCTCCCGGACCCAGGAGCCCACCCTGCGGGCTGTGAAGCCGGATCAAGTGCAGCGGAAGCTGGTGGGTGACGTAATTCCGCACTTTGACAGGCGCTGCTTCAAGCTGGTGGGCATGAAGATGGTGCAGGCTTCGGAGAACATCCTCACTGAGTATTACTTTGACTTGCAGAGGAAGCCCTCCTACCCAGCCTCATCAGCTACATGAGCTTCGGCCCTGTGGTGGCCCTGGTCTGGGAAAGTCACAACGCGGTCTGCACCTCGAGGGCCGTAATTGGAGGCACAAACGCTGTTGAAGCTACCCCAGGAAACGTCTGGGGAGACCAGCGTCCACACATCATCAGAGACGTCATCCACTCCAGTGACCCAGTGGAGGGGGCCTGTAGGGAGATCGGGTTGTGGGTCCGGAGGAGTGAGTTGGTGACCTGGCCAGACCTGGGCCTCCACAGCAGCATCTTCCCTGTCTGAGGGCTCCAGCTGCTCTTCTCTGCCCACTGTGGCCAGGACCAACTACCTCTGTCAACAAGACAGCTCACAAGCAAGCTTTATAGTCTTTCTAAACCACTCCCCTGGTGACCCCAGCTCTGCGAAGTGTTTGAGCCATCAACTTTTTGTGTCTTTCTGTACCCTGAGACAGCACCAGATTGGACCAAATACTTTCTGTACCAAAGTGCCAGACAACCTTTGGGGTTTCCAAAAGAGGGTAGTGTGACCTGCCCTCCCCCAAAGGAAACATTAAAATTCACTATGCCCTGAAAAAAAAAAAAAAAAAGACCTAGGATACATATGTATATAGATGGATATGTGTATTGTTTATGAAAATAAACATACCCTGATTCCCAGAAGGAAATCAGTAGAAGAGGATGCCCCATGTGCCTTGGACATTGATATACTGAGGATAGCAAGTGAGTGAGTGTCATTCACACTCCCAGAGTGTGCTGAGTTGGCCTCCACCCTGAGCTGTAGAGAGCCTGTATTCCAAGGCTTGGGCCTACAGTTGGTATCCTCCCCACTGGCCTCCCTGCTTTCATCTCTTTGGTCACAAGGCCCAGCCTGCTTGTCCATGCCCCTATGGCCTCTAGACCCAAACCTTGACATTCCTTTTGTAGGGGATGGCTACTCTTGCTGCGTCTCAGCTTCTCTTCCCTTTCTCTGCAACTCACTCTATTGTTTTCATGGCTCACTGGTGGTTGAGGAGCACAGTCTGAGCAAGAGGAACTGCCCTATCTTTTCTGCTAGGACTGTCTTCCTCATGGTCCTGCCTTCCCCACAGCAGGGAGTGGGGGGTAAAAGGGGGTATAGAGGATGACCATGTGATCCAGGCTGGCCAATCACAGCATCTGATTCACTGCACAGTGCTTATTCTCCCCAGGTCTGGGCAAGTTATCTATCATCTAATAATGTCCTCTGTATGTGTTTGGGGTGTGTTTATCACCTGTCCCCCACCCTTGCCCCACCAGAATCTTTTTGAGAGTGGCAGAACCATACGACCTGTCTGTCTTGTTAGCTGCAGCACTTGTACTGGTTGGCACTTAGTCAATTCTGACTCATGGACATGGAGACCTCATGTGTGTCAGAGTAGAATGATGCTCCATAGTTCAGTGACTATTTTTTTTTTTTTTTTGGGGGGGGAGTAAATTGCTAGAACTTTCTTCTGAGGTACCTCTAGGTGGACTGGAACTGTCAACCTTTAGGTTAGCAGTCAAGTGTGTTAATGTTTCACACCACTCAGGAGCACTCATAGATAAGACACTCAGTAATATCTGTTAACCAATTCCAGACAAAGGAAAATGTGTGCTTACACTGCCATTTCTTTCATGAAGAGTGTGGCAGCCCAGGAACTCTCCCACGAATTCAAGTTCTGAAAGGACTTTTCCAGGTGACAGGAGCATTAGGCAGCTCAGGTGTTAACTTTCCCAAACCCTCCAGTAGGATGCTGTGGTCCTCTCACCTGCCCTAGATGGTTGCCAGCATCACACCTCTTGCCACCTGACCGCAGAGCTCTTGGTAGGTTGGGTTGTTCAGGATGCTGGCTGTCTGGGCCACACTCTTCTGCATGGCTTCCCACAGAGGAAGCTAGAGGCATACTGGGTGCTTGTGACATCTTTTCTTCCACTCTGATGGGGACAAGAGACCCTCTTTGACCGATGAGGAAATAGCAGCTTAAACTTGGAGGTCAAGGGGTCTACCTGCTTCTCTCAGCTCCTCACTAGGAGCATGGGGATCTGCATACAGTTCCACCATACTCCAAGGTGGGGCTTCTACATGTTCTTACTGTTTCCCAAAGTATGGTGGACTCAAGAGATGAGTTCAAAAGGGCCATGAGCACAGCATGGAATGATATCCGAATGCATAGTGAGAATGCTATTTCCCTCTAAATTATCTTTAGAGCCTTGTAATGACCTCAAGAATGCCTGGATTTAGTGCTGGAATATTTTAACACCTTTATAACATCTGCTCTGGTAGCATAGTGGCTAAAGCACTTGACTGCTAACCAGAAGGCTGGTGGTTCAAACCCACCAGCCACTCCTCGGAAGGAAGGTTGGGCAATCCTACTTCCGTAGTGATACTGCCTCGGAAACCCAAGGAGGGGTCGCTATGAGTCGGGGCTGACTCGACGGCACATAACAACAACAACAACAATAACATCTGCTAGTCTCTGCCTTTTAACAAAGAGGGAGCAGACCTGCGGCTGAGCATTTTGGCAAGCAACAGTATCAAATTAGGGCTTAATAACTTTATTTTTATTTTGTGTGTTTTCTTATACTTTTGTTACAGAAAATGAGACTCCTTTCCATTTATGAAGTGATATAAAGTTTCCATTTAGGTCTATAGTAAGTATATATTAAGGAAATACAAAAATAAAGCTGTCATACCAAAGTCCAGGATAACCAACAGAAGACACAAACTGCGTACTCTGACAGTGCATGGAATGACACTTCATTCACATAGAGAAGAGACAGAGTGAGATCAGCTTCATTGTGAGCACTGGTATCTCATGGCCAGTGTGTCCTCCTTTGTGGCTTGTGCAGGGCAGATATTCTATGTTCACCCTTCTTGTGTCACAGTTAAAGGAGACCCCATTGCTTTCCTGCCTG